AGGATTAAAATTTGCAACAATAAATTTCTATTTCAAGAAAACCTAATAATATTAAATACTACACATTATGTTCCTAGTTGTCCATCTTTTCTTTGCTTCCTTGTAAGTTTTTTTGGTTCTCTGCTGTGCTCTTTATTTTATTTTATTAATTAATTTTTTTGTTTTCAGCATTCACTTCCACAAGGATTTGAGTTTAAACTTTTCTCCCCCTGCTCCTTGCCTCCCTCCCCAAGATGGTGTGCAATTTGATATAGGCTCTACATACACATTCCTATTAAACATATTTTCACATTAGTCATGTTACAAAGAAGAATCAGAACCAATAGGAGGAACCACAAGAAAGAAGAAATAAATCAAAACAGAAGGAAAAAAAAGAGCAAATAGTATTCTTTGATCTTAAGCATAATTCTTCAAGGGAAAAAAATGGTCATTCAATGACATAGAAGGATTTTAAGCTTTCATAAGGAGAAGACCAGAATTGAACAAAAATTTTATCTCTAATATCAAGACCCAAGGGAAGCCTAAAATTGTAAAAAGGGAAAAGAAAACATAAGGGATTCAATGGAACTGAACTGTTTACATCCATATATTGGAAGATGATGCTTGTAATTCTGAAAAATTGTACCACTAATAGTACATCTAGAAGGAATATACATAGACAGAGTGTATGGATATGAGGTAAATTGGAGGAAATAAAGCATAAAATGACATAAAAAATAACTAAGGAATGAGAAAGAGGAGTACACTGGGTGCAGAAGGAATGCAGAGGTAGAATGGGGTAATTCCTTTTACATGAAGAGGTGCAGAAAACCTACTACAGTAGAGGGAAAGATGTATTGGCTTGAACCAGTGGTGGGAAACCTGTAGCCTGGAGGCCACTTGTGGGCTTCTAGGGGATTTGTTTTGCGAAGTTTGGATCGGTCAAAGGGACACACTTGAGGACCTAGAGAGCCACATGCGGCCTCAAGGCCACAGGTTCCTCATTATGGCATGAACCTTACTCTCATCAGTATTGGCTCAAAAAGAGAATGATATACACAATCAGTTGAATGTAGAAATCTATCTAACCAGATCTGAAAGTAGGAGGCTAGGAGATTAAGTAAAGAGGAAGGTGGAGTACTGACAAAAGGGAGGGCAGAGGGGGAGGTGATAGACAGAAGCAAAACAATGGTGAGGAAGGAAAAGGTAAAAGGAGAGAAAAGACAAAAAGGAGGAAAAATAGGATGGAGGGAAATACACAATTGATAATCACAACTTGTGAAAGTGAATGGGCTGGGGGCAGCTAGTTGGACAGCGGATACAGCACCAGCCCTGGATTCAGGAGGACCCAATTTCAAATCCAACCTCAGACACATAACACTTACTAGCAGTGTCACTTAACCCCCATTGCCCAACCAAAAAAAAAAAGTGAATGGGCTGAACTCTCCCATAAAAAGGAAGTGGATAGCAGAGTGAATCAAAACCCAGAATCTTACAATATGTTTTTACATGAAACACACTTGAAGCAGAGAGACACACACAGAGTATAGGTAAGTGACTGGAGAAGAATCCATCATGTTTTAACTGAAGCAAAAAGAATAAAGACAGCAATCCTGATCTCAGACAAAGCAAAAGCAAAAATTGACCTAATTAAAAGAGATAAATAAGGAAACTACATCTTGCTAAAAGTACCATAGACAATGAAGTAATATCTATACTAAACATACGTGTACCAAGTGGTGTAGCATCCTAATTCTTAAAGGAGAAGTTAAATGAGTTACAGGTTCATGATCAAACAAAAGATAGAGAGCATTCTGAAATGCAAAATAAATACTTTTGGTTATATTAAATTAAAAGGCTTTTGCACAAATAAAACCAATGCAACCAAGCTTAGAAGGAAAGCAGAAAGCTGGTAAACATTCTTTACAGCAAGTATCTCCAATAAAAGCCTCATTTCTCAAATATATAGAGAACTGAACTCATAAGAATACCAGCCATTCACCAAATGATAAATGGTCAAAGGATATGAACAGTCAGTTTTCAGGTGAAGAAACCAAAGCTATCTATAGGCATATAGAAGTGCTGTAAATCACTTTTGATTAGAGAAATTCACATTAAAACAACTCTGAATTGCCATCTCATACCTATCAGATTGGCTAATATGACAGAAAAGGAAAATGATAAATGCTAGAGAGAATGTGGGGAAATTAGGACACTAATGTACTGTTGGTGGAGTTATGAACTTATCCAACCATTCTGGAGAACAATTTGGAACTATGCCAACCAAAATGCATACTCTTTGATCTAGTAATACCACTACTTGGTCTGCATCCCAAAGAGATCATAAAAAAGGGAAACGGACCTACATATACAAAAATATTTATAGCAGCCCTTTTTGTGGTGGCAAGATATTGGAAATTGAGGGGATGTCCATTCATTGGGGAATGGCTGAACAAGCTGTGGCATATAAATATAATGGAATACTATTGTTCAACAAGAAATGAACAGTCAGAATTCATAAAAACCTGGAAACACTGGTATGAACTGATGCAAAGTAAAATGAGCAGATCCAGGAAAGCATTGGACACAGTATCAGTAACACTGTGTGATGATCAACTATGAATGATTCAGTTCTTCTCAACAACACAATGATCCAAGCAAGTACAAAGGACTCAAGAGGGAAAATACTATCTAAATCCAGTTAAAGAACTGATGGACGCTGAATGCAGATCACAGCATACTTTTTTCATTTACTTCATTCTTTTTTCTGACTTTTTTCCTTTTGGTCTGTTTCTTCTTTCACAACTGTAACTAATATAAAAATATGTTTTACATGATAGTGTATTAGAACCTATGTCACACTGTCTAACATTTTGGGAAGGGGGTGGGGAGGGAAGGAGGATGTGAGAAAAATTTGGAACTCAAAATCTTGTAAAAGTGAAAGCTAAAAAATTTCTTGACATGTAATGAGGGAAAAAATAAAATAGTATTTAAAATAAATAAATAAAAGAGGGGTGTCAGGTCCAACATAGGATCAAACAAATAAAAAACAAAGACTAGGTCAGGTCAGGAGCTGAGTATCCTCAGAGGGTCGAGGTGGAGGTGGGAAAGCTGAGACAAGAAGAGCTTTGGCCCATGAACTAAGACAAGAGTAAGCAGTCCAGACTGATTCCTCTTGGCACTGAGGGCAACTTTTTGAGGCATTTTAATTGTTCTTACAGGGATGAAGAACAGGTGTGATTTACTCACAGTTAGGGAGAGAGATGTAGACTAGTTCTGCAATTTCATCTATAGAGGGAATTCCAGGAGGAGGAAATTCCCTTTACCAATGCAGGACACCACCTTCTCTGTAACATAAAGTCTTAGAGAGATGCCTACAACTCTAAGAAGTTTCATCATTCGGTCAGGATCACACAGCCAATATATATCAGAGATGTGATTTGAATCCAAATGGCACATAGTAGGTTTTTCCTTAGGGATCTGTAAGGATGTAGAGGGCCACAAGCTATTCATGAGGTCTCACTGATGGGCGGAGGCCCCTCTCGGGTGATTGATCTATGAGCAAAGGTCACCAGGTTCAGGTGCTCCATTCTATGGATCTTTAACAATCTTTAACTCCCCTAGTTATTGTATGGTCATTAGCAGTTTATCTGGGATTGGAGTCAGATAAGTGCACAGGATGTGCATGCACAGTCCTTAGCACAGCATGAGCTCTACCTCATAGTAACTTGAGAAGAAGTTCCTGTTACTTTACTACTTAAGTGAATGCTTTGTTAAAATTAAATGGAGTTGCTTCCATCTTGTCTCCTGCCTCATCAATGCACATTCTAGATAGAAGGTTAAGCTTGTCTTATCCCTTCAAAGTTAGCGTAGGATCCTTGCTCTTGTGGTGAGCTGAGTTAGCTGTGCACAACAGTTTTTTATAAATGTTTATTGGCTGAGTTTAACTCTTTGAAAATTCCACCTGTTGCAGCTCATTCTGCATCCTGGGGCCAAGCAAAACAAGGTAAATTTACCCAGGTCTTCCTGGCTCCAAGGCCAGATCTCTGTCTACTCTGCCAGCTGCCTATCTCCTCATTGTCACATAACTAAGTTTCAGAATCAGGGCTTGAACAAGGTCACCTTTGTTCTTTCCCCTATAACATATTGGTTCAGTCTTTGCCCTCAAACTCTATTACAGGGCAGGAAAGCTCTGGTTTGGGAAGGGGCCTGGAGGATAGTGAAGAGGAGGAACTAAATTGGAAGGGAGAGACTCTCCCAAGGAGCCTTTGATGCTCTTCACCCAGACCAAGCAGGACTTTTTGGACCTTCCTATGATACTCCAGGCATTCAGTCTGGGCCCTAAGCACTCTTGATGACTCCACATCACATTGAGCATGTAGCCACCTTCCCCAGCTTCCCTTGAGACAGTTCTGAGGATGGGCAACCCCATTTCTACCAGCCAGAGAAATGTCTGAGAGACAGAATGCTCAGGTCTTCCTTCCAAGACAGGCTTTCCTCAGACCCGTCATTTCTCAGCAATCCTTTAGCTGAGCCCTTCCGTCACCTTGGTCCATCTCCCCCTTAGTGCTCCTAGCTTCTCAGGCTCTCCATCATCTTCTATACTCAATCTTCTCAACCCCTTCATTCTTCCTCCTCTGTCCAACACTCCTCAAAGCCCTTTAGTCCTGCCAAGCCCTTAGTATGGTAGTCCTCATAATCCCACTCCAAATCCTATCAGTCTCCACTGGGGAGTCTTGGAGATTCCCACAATTTCCTCAGTGGCCCATGGACCTCATATCCTGCAATTTCATTTAGTCTAGGGGACCAGGCCTTCCTTTTCTTCCATGAATTGGACTATGTTGGAAGTTTGGTGCCCTTCCTCAGTCCCTTATCCAACTAGTGCCCTCATCCCCTTAGTTCCCCTAACCTTCCCATTCCCAGCCTCTAGCCCAAGTTCCCCCCAGTACATTAGTCCCTTCAGCCCTCCATCTTCTGTCCCCACTGACTCCCCCAGTCCCCACCCCAGGTTCCCCACTTACCAACCCCAGATGACCAAAGAGCCAGTTCTTAAGAGGGGGCTGAGGGAAACACCGAAGCCTCTGGCAGTTGACATAGTATCGTTGGACCCAGGCTAGGCCCTTGACTAGGATCCAGGTGCCAAGGGCCAGTAAGGCCAGCAACAGGATGGAAGAAACCCCAGGCTCCAGGACTGCCAGGCCCAGAAGATGAGATAGCCACTTGGGGGCAGGCAGCATCCTGCAGGGAGAGAGACCATGAGACAGAGGGGGAGGTATAGGACAGTCCTAGGATAATTGTTGGGGCTGGACACATGGGAGAAGGGATGAAGATGCTAAGAGGTATGGAGAGGAGGCCTGACTGTAGCGAACCATTTCAGAGCAGTTTAAAGGGGGAGGAGAGAGAAACAAAATTAGGAGAGGAAGCAGAGGGAGGCAAGATAAAACTGAGAGGTCTGTGGCAGAAGGAAAACACCAAGGATCCAAGTGGCACCAGTGCCTCGGCCCCTCTAGGCTTAGAGTTCTCTGAAGGCACATTCCTAGAGGGGTGTACATCTCCCAGACTCCTGATGGGAAGGAGAGTAGGGAGGCCCCTGCCCCCCCCCCAGAGGGGCCTCCCCCTGCCCCAGCTGGGCTCTTGGTCTTGCATTTGTTGTTTTCTCTTCTGGATGCCAGCATTTTCTTGAGGTCAGTAACTAACCCTAGGAGCCCATCACCCCCATTGGCCTCTTCCAGGCTCCAGGCTGCAGATTCACAGGCACTTTGTGAACCACTCAAGTAAGACAGCTGACTCATGTGACTTCCCTTCCTAGAGGCCTCTCCCAAGTCCAAGCTGACCTGGCCTGAGTTTGAATTCCAGTTCTAGACCCTCGAGCCCTTCAGGGTGGCAGACAAGGCTCTCTTCCCTAGCAAGGAGTCCTTCCTTCCCTGCAGCCAGCTCTTGGGGTGTGTAGAAGGGGGACCCTCCAAGGGAACCACCTAATCCTGCTTCCCCTTTGACTCTTTCAGTGTCCTGCTGACAAACATGCCGTCTGCCGTGGTTGGACCCACAATCTGCCCTTCGCTCCTACTTCCCCCTCCCAATTCTTCCCAAACACTGGCTGCTTCAAGAACATCCCTCTCCCCTCAGTGAACGAGAGGCTGGAGCTAAGCTGCCAATCCTGAGCTGGAAAGCCCATCCGGTTGCCGGAGGTCTCATCACTTTCCCCAAGAACTGAATAGGGAAGGAGGAGTTGGGTGAAAATCCTGGAGCAGAAGGTAGGGTGACCCAGAAAGCCTCACCCATTTGCCAAGAGTCCTTAAGGGCAGAGATTTGGTCAACTACTTAGGAACTCCTGACACAGGATCAGGGTGAAAATTCTCCAGACCCCTGCCTCCTCCCCAGTCCTGGCACCTGGTACACAGAAAGGCTCGTTGACATCACCTGGGTCCTAGGGAAAGTTGAACACTAGAATCTCAGGTGATGCTGGACGGTAAGGGAGGTGGGGCTGGCACATCAACAGCCCAAGAGTCCATCTGGCTGTGGACAGCCCTAGTAGGCAGAGTTATGAAGAAGCCCCAGGCTGCTCAGCATTTCCTAAAGGGTGGGGTATGGGGCAGGAGAGGAAGGAGGAAGGTAACAGGAAATCCTGAATTGCAAAAAGTTTGTCCTTGCATCAGGGAGGTACTTCCCAAATGCTCCTTCCCTCAAACCGCGCCCCCCCCCCCCGCCTTCACTGGGCCCTTTCCCACCTTCAGGTTTGGGTCCTGATTTCCCTGAACAGGTGGGGCCACCAGGGAGAAAAGGCCATCATGGCAAGAGGAGGACCTTGAAGGATTTAAGATGGGGTGGGGGTGGGGGAGCTGGGGGCCTGGGCCATGGAGCCAAAGGCCACTGAGGAATGGGGTAACTTTCAAAACCCGAGCCTTTCTTTGGTTGGAGCAGGAGACAGTGACAGACCAAGGTATGTAAATGTTTAGGCTGGGCATTAGAAACTAGGTGACTGATGAGGCAGGTTAAAGTCAGTAGGAGACACAACTTCCAGGGAGTCCGAGCTGGGTAGAGTGGCTTCTATCATCATCCTAGGACCCCTTTTAGGCAGAACACTGAGACCAGGAAGGGGATTGAGGGGCAGGATGGTCTCCTTCCTAAGAGTCTAAAAGAAAGAAAGACCCCTTCTCCTCTCTAAGGCTAATCCTCTTCTACCTGGTGACACAAGTGAGAAAGGGCACAGCCAAGCCAGAGCCAGGGCAGAGAACAGTGACTAGGATAAGGAAAGACTGGAAACTATGCAATGCAAGGGTCACTCTTACCTACTGCCGGCCGGACATCTCTGTCTGAATACCAAAGTGAGCATGTCTAAATGGAATTCCATTTTAATACTCAATGATTCCAGAGAACCAATGATAAAGCATTCAATCCTTTACAGAGAGGCTAGGCAATGGGACACATTTTTTTTTGTAGTCACTAGGGTGATTTGTTTTGCCTCATTATGTACATTTATTTCAAAAATTTTTCTTTTTCTTTTTTAATTTCCCAATGGGACAGGGAGTGGGAGGGAAAGGAAATAGATTTCTATTCATTTAAAACAAATGGAGGGGTGGGAACGTACTAGAAATGTAAAATAGTGTATGCACTTGTCAAACAGGTAAAAATACTGTTAGTTTTACATTGTTACAAGAGAGAATAATCTATAAATGTCAGTGAAGTAAAAACCAAAACATATCAATATAATTTAAAATGAAAAAATAGGTTTCATCTTCCTTTCTATTTTTCCTATTTCTTTCTTTCCTTCTTTCTCTTTTCTTCTTTCCTTTTTTCTTTCTCCTTTCTTCTTTCCTTTTTTCTTCCTCCCCTTTTTCTTCTTCCTTTACACTTCTTTCTTCCTTCCTTTTCTTTTTTTTTCTCTCTTTCTCCCTTCTTTCTTTCATTCATTTTTTCTTCTTTTCCTTCCTTCTTTTCCTTTCTTCCTTCCATTCATTCTTTCTATCCATTGTGTCTCTAACCCCACTCCCTCCAAACTTCCCTATTTCTGCGAGGATACCACAATCCTTCCAGTCACCCAGGTTCACGACCTCAGACTCTTCCTAGTCTCTTCCTTACCTAGCCCACCTCCCTCCCCCATCAAATCGGATGTGAAGACCTGTTCCTCCTGCTTGCACAACATCCTTGGCATCTATTTCCTTCCTTCTTCTCCCAAGACCTCTTCTCAGAGATGACTTGCTCAGGCCATGGAAAATTGCAAAGTGCTGTCAATCAGAAAGTACAAGAAACAATTCCCCACCCCTGCCCCTTCAGACTGCTTAGAACTTCGATTAAAATAGGAATCTACCAGATGCCTCAGTCAGGGCTTCTCCAAGTCGGGGCCTCTCTGCTCTACACAGACACAGACACACAGACACACAGACACACACACACACACACACACACACACACACACACACACACACACACATACCCTGGCCCTAACCTACCATGCCAGCCTCACTGCCACATCATTCTCCCTCCCACATTCTGCAATCCCACTAAACTGTCCTCTCTGTTCCTCACATAAACCATTCCACCTCCTATCTCCAGGCCTTTGCACTGGCCATACCCTATGCCTAGAACACCCTCTTTCCTTACCTCCACATCCTAGGGTCCCTCTCTTCCTTCCAGATGCAGCTCAGACACCATCTTCTACATCAAGCCTTATCTGATCCCCCATCACCTCCTCCTCAGCATCTAGGGCCTTCCTTCCCTCCCAGACCACCTTGGATCTATTTTGTATATATTTGAATTTATTAACTTTATACTGATGCTGGACAAGTTTTTTTCTTAAATTTTTTTTTATTTTAGACAAATGCTAAAACTTAAATACATAATAAGAAAAGAAAAAGAAACTTAAATATTAAAAAAAACAAAAAAAAGTCATGTGCACAGCAGAACATAGGAGAGCATTCAAGATACATAGCAATAACTTTTCATTTCAAGAAATCCTGTATATTAAATACTGTGCATTATGTTGAAAGCTGTCCATCTTTTCTTTGCTTCCTTGTCAGTTTTCTTTTGTTCTCTGCTGTATACTTTTTACTCTGTTCCCTTTTTCTCCTCCCTCCCTCCCCCCTACCTGCCATCCAAAGGCTAATTGAGCATTGGATGTATTTATATATAGGTATTGATATTCACATACACACACACATATACACATACATACATACATACATACATATAAACATATACGTCCCCTAAGAGATTCTACTCCTAATTGTTTTTGTGCTTGTGCATATCTCTTTTTTTCCTATCTCTCCTAACTCCTCTACTTTACTTCTACCTTACCCTCCTATTACTTAACCTACCCCAACTCTAGCAATCTTTCCCTTATTATCCCATTCCCCTAAATCTAAACTCCCTTCTATATCTCCTTTTAACCTATTCCCACACCTTCCCCTCTAAAATCCCTCCTTTATTTTCTCCCCCCTCCCTATCCCCTTAGAGTTTTATTTCTTTTGAATTTAAGACTTTTGATACTCTTCTAAATGTATATGTATTTTCCCCTCTTAAACTCATTTCCAGTGAGTAGGTTTCCAAAACTAATACCCTACCCTCCCCTATTTAATTCCTCTGTATTGGTTCGTCCTCTTGTACTTCATTTATAAAAGATAATTACTCTTTTAGCTTGAATGGTTTTACTTTTTGAAGTCATATCACACTCAAGTCTACCCCAATCTTCCTTATAACTTACCTAATTACTAGTAACAATCCTAGACATAGGTTTTACATTATTCATACATAAAAAGTAAACATTCTATCCTTATTTAGTCCCTTGTAATTGGTCATCGGCATGTACCTTATGTTTCTCTGGGCTCTTGTATGTTAAATCTTCTATTGAGTTCAGGATTTTGTTTTGTTTTTAAAAAAAACCTGAAAGTCTGACAATTGATCAAGTATCCCCTTTTTTTCCCTTCAGAATTATACTTAGCTTTGCTGGGTATGATATTTTCAGCCAAAAGCCCAGTTCTTTCGTTCTTTGGTATATAGTGTTCCTAGACCTGTGATCTTTTAGTGTTGCCACTGCTAGGTCTTGTGTGATTCTAATTGTGGTACTGCCATAACTAAATTGTTTTTTTCTTGTTGCTCATAATATTTTGTTTTTGATCTGGGGGTTTCAGAATTTGACTACAATAGTCCTGCGAGGATCTCTTTCAGGTGGTGATCAGTGGATTTTTTCTATTTCTACTTTCCCCTCTTGTTCTAATGTTTCAGGACAATTTTCTTTAATC